CGAGAGGAATCAAGTGAAGAAGGTAGGTTTTAATAACACTAAGATATTTGTCAGTTTATTTAGATCAATTGCGTTTAATTGTTTTGCTTATCACGTGTATTTTCTTGGTTTCCACATTCGCCTAAAGGTTCTTGTGTATACGTAGAAAATCCAAGTTTGAAAGTGACTCGTGAGAAATTCCGTGGTATACCACGAGAAAGCATTGCTATTTGTATGCGGATTCAGATCGATTGGGACCCCGAGGCGTTTGCCGATTGAAAAAAATTACATTGCAGCGTCAATTCGAAAACCCTACAAATTTAACAATGGGAAATAAACACTTGTTTTGGTTTTGCACTTAGTGTAAGCGAAATAACTCTCGTCTAATCAACTTTTTCATACCTGTTGTGCTTGATAAGGTACAAGCTCCAAACTGGAAGAATCGGTGGATACCTCTGTCATGTGTAGAGAGAAACATCACGAGAATGAGCCTCTCAATTATTATTGTCATGACTGCAAAGTTTGCATTTGCGACAAGTGTAGACAAACACGTCATACAAATCACACCAAGGTGGATATCAAGCAAGCCGCCGAAGAACAAAAACTAAAGATGGCGGNGACTGCAAAGTTTGCATTTGCGACAAGTGTAGACAAACACGTCATACAAATCACACCAAGGTGGATATCAAGCAAGCCGCCGAAGAACAAAAACTAAAGATGGCGGAGCTTGTGCTGGAAATGAAAGTAGAGATTGCTGAGTACGCGACCCAAATGGAGAAAACAACAGAAATGTTAAAGAAAAACGGAGATAAAATTGCTGCCGCTCGTAACAAAGTGTTAACCACTATTGAAGAACTCATTCGAGTGTTAAAGGAACACGAGATCGCCATGGTGACCAAGTTAGATGTTATTGAGAACGAACAGCAAAAAGATTACTCACTACAGTTAGAACACTTTCAGATATCTGCCAAGCAACTGGAAACGTCTGTGGAACATTGCCAAAGAATTTTACAAGGAAACAACGGCGTTGAAACTCTTGAAGCGCAGCAGGGTGTCATGGAAAAGTGCAAAGGTCTCCTAAATGCGAGGAAAATGAACATTTATAAACCATCGTATGTTCAATACAAGACAAACGAAGAGGATATCCAGCATGTTAGACGCGCGTTTCTTGGTGAAGTTGTTGTCAGTACAACTGATCCTCTACAATCAATGGCGGAAGG